GATTATCAAGTTCGCTGATTGCTGCCGAAAATTATTAGCATGACCAGATGCCAACCGACAAGCATTATCCTCTAATTTGCACATCATTCATTTGGTATAGTATTTGGGTTAAGGTCATTTTGCGTAGTCTTCGGCTCGTTTTGTCACGACAGCTAATAGTTCACCAATTACCATATATTTACATTTCTAAGCACTCAAAATCTCCCTTCAATTCTTCATTCGTTGTTCGTTATCACATTTTTAATTCAATTTATTTATATGTTTGAAATTGAGAATATACACACTGTGTAATATTTCTTCTAGACATTCATACAGTAATATAATTATTAATCCATCAAATTCGATGTTGGAAATATCAGGGAATTTTAGCTCGGCAGCATTGCTTACAGCACTCGACAGCTATCACATCCGCAGATACACAAAATTGACACGACTCTCGAACTACGCATGCGAGAAAGATCGATAGTGCTATCGATTACTACAACATTTCACCGGTATCTGGATTTATTGTTCTAAGCGAAAGCATATATTAATTATTTTATTAAGTTTAGAATATATAGTAATATATACTTTTTTTATTGATGTTTTGACTAGGAGAGTTTCAGAATGAATTACATTTTTCAATAAATAAAAGTATTTATGTGGATGATATGTTGAATAATTTATTTGAAGTTGGATTTGATTGTAAAACTCCCTATAAACAACAAAAGCATAATTAACTATCCGAAATCAAGCTAATATAATACTTCCTATTCATTAACAAGTCGTGGTGACCTTAGCTCAACATTGGACAAATCGATATATTGAATTGTCTATTAATATACATGTTTGCCCATTTAAACAAAAAAAACCAATTTTCAAGTTATACAATTGAAGGAAGAAAAAAACTTTTTCACAACAATATTTGTATTAATATTAATGACAAAACCTGTCACAATTTTACGTCAAATAAAGGTCATATCTCTTCATAACATATCAACGCAGTAAATGCGATGTATTAAGAAATATATTACTACACATATTTCTAAAACTAATTCTAACTTTTCAGTTTTAGTGTGAATAGTAAACATTTCCGAGTGAATTATCGAATAGTCCTGTTTTTGTACACACAGAAATTGGTGCTGTAGTAGCTCAAATTCTAATAAAAGAATTATTTCGTATTTTGAACAAAAAGTAGTCCAAAATCAATACTTTTTAGATTTCAAAAATTAAATCTTTAAAAAACAATCATCGATGCATCTCTGAGCCTCTCGGTGTTTTGGTATTCTAAGGTTAAGGCTTCAACTGGCATCAAATGAAGACGATGATAGATTGTGATTTATTATTATTATTTGTGATTCCAGGCGCGTCTACTACCAATGACATAAGTCCATTAGTCCTATAAGTGTAGTGCATGGGTTTTTGCTGGGTGTCGGTTTCCTTCCCTTGGTACTAGAGATCCGGCGCCGATCTACCGTCTAGGGGTTTCCCCAACCAAGTATCTCCCACCAATATCTAAGCTCCCGACCGGTCTCCCGGCAAAAACCCATGCTTGTGGTAGTGTAGTGCATGTTAGTGTGTGTGCGTGTAAGCAACGGGTGGGGATATGACAAGGAAGAGGTAGGAAAGATCGCGAGTGCTTCGTGGCCCGTCTGTTAGGGTACTGCTCCGGCATTCACCTGTTTTTGTTCGGAGAAAACACGGAAAACTACCGATCAGAGCAGCCCGACGTCATGATCCTTTTCCACACAGGGACTCAATGCGACCTAGCTGACAAGCTAGCGACGAAAATCCTTCCTCCGTCGAGACTCGATCCTACGACCTCCCGTTCAGAAGAATGCAATGTCTCGCGTCGGAGCTGAGACGGGATTTATTGCAAGGAGAGGGATGTTTATGCTGGCAAGGGGAGTGTAGAGTGAATACTAATTGGGCAGCGGAAGCCTTTTGACGAAAGGGCACGCGAATGACCTTTAGACCTGCTTGGTGCAGGCCACCAACATCGTGGTCGGGATAACAAGTTCCCAGTGAACGGAAACTACGAATTGGATGCAACAAACGCATTTGCTATTTGATAGAGTCATTTACTAAATCCCACAGATTGATATTAATATACTTGAAAAAAAATCGTTAATTTTTCAATCATTGTTCATCTTAAGAAAAGGGTTATGACGGTAGAAAATGACACTACAGTAAAATGTCTAATACAGTACATTTGTATACTAATTTTCATCGAAAATAAATATTCAATTGGTGCTTATCCCTCTTATCAATGAAGGACGTGTTTTTTACAATCTATTTTAACGCGTTAATGTTTCATATTTTTTAAAATCAAAACATGCATAATATTTAAAAAATATTATTTAAAATAAAAATACCTTTCCTACAATAAATATTTTCAAAATTTCTTGAAGTATCAATAAAGCTTTTGCGTAATGTTTATACCATAACAAAAAAAGTGAGAAACATTCGATATCACTACTCATGGTCATCAACTCAGGACACTTATTTTGCTTTCGACTATTTGTTTCAACACTCTGTTTCTTACGACGAGCACAAAGTGAATGATAATTCGCGTTGCCCATGCCTTATGAGCCCTGGAACCGATGACTGAAGGCATTCAACCGTCCCACAGACCCTTCACGCAGGGTCCTTTTCCCTGGAAATCGCCAGATTGCGTCACGCGACTTCAGGTTTCCCTCACACATCTCAGTGAATTCCCTTTCACGTCCGGTTACCTCATAAGATACAGCCTGATTGCACCCCGAGGCAGGTCAGTCAGTTTTCTTACACCCGCATCGCTTGTAATCACCTTTAATTTTAAATTCCTGAAAAAGCATAGCCCGATTGCAGCTCGCGGTCAGTTTTCTCTCAATTTCGTCCATCTGAAACTGCAATGTAAACGCGAGTTTTTGTCAAATCGTCTGCCCTCCGAGGCAACTGAAACCCTGCTGATAGATCGGCTGATAGTGGTGGTGCAACGTATGAGTATGGGCACATAAACAGCGGTGAGAAGCGATTTCCGCTCTTCCAAAAACGGTAAGATCATCAAAGATCTCAAAATATATTTAATAAAATTCAGTGTAAGGAACTATGTCTTCTATGTAATTAAGCATTATTATCATTCTCGATGTTTCGGAGTGCAGTGAAGTGAAGTGTGGTGAAGTGGAGTGCTATGAAGATTGCACGGTGAAATGTTCACATTAATTTGTAAAGTTTGTAGATATTGTAAAGTTGTTAAGTTCAGTAATGTTAAGTTAGTGCCATCAAGTTCTCAAACTTAATTGAAGAATTATTAATAAATCTAATCTAAAAAAAAGGTTCATAGCACATACAAATTTGTATTGTAACGAATATTGTATCATCTGCCGGAATCCGCTGCGCGGATTGCGCCATCTGCCTGCGCACCCCGAACTGGACGGTTCCGTGTTTTTCGCGAGTCACGTAGAAGTGCGACGCAAGTTCCGGAGAGGTCCACGCGGGTGCCAACCAGGTATAAATTCGCCGCTACCGGCTGTCGCTAGCATGCTGAAGTAGAAGATGAGCTGTTAAGTGTGCATCGCGGTGAACAGAGGTGGCGGGGACCGTGATCAGCACCGTGAACTGTGGCCAGCGTCGTGAACTTAGGCCAGCGCAGTGGACTGTGGTCAGCGCAGTGGACTGTGGTCAGTGCATCGGACACCAGTAGGTGTATCGGACTGTGCGATAGTGCAGAAGAAGTGAACAGTGAAAAGAAACAATCAAGAGAAACGAGCCGTGTGTAAAGAAATAACCGAGTAAAAAAAAACACAAGGACTATTAAACCTATATCTACATTAATCAAGTATTTTTAGTATAGCATTTAGAAACCAAATAAACGTCTTTGTTAAAATATTACCTGTTTTAATTCACCATAAGAAACGTTACGGTATGTAGGGGTATTGAAAGATACTGAGCAAGTTGGTAAAATTTCATGTCGCTTCGAGTATCCAGCACGGTGAGTGTTGTGTGTAAGAATGGAAAATATCTTGGAGAGCCTGCGGCCTTGCCCCCTTCCATTCGAGTGGGCTCGCTGACAGCTGAGAGGTCGATGACAGCATGGCAGGCGGCGACCGCGTTCCGGCGATTGCAGCTCTCTCGCAACGAGATAATGCACGCCTTCCGGCCGCTGATGCTCAACTGTTTCACTGACTCCTCAGCTGCCGTTTTGGCCGGAGGAGTGCGGGAGAGTGACCGTCTCAATTGAGGAGAGCACAGCATGGAGGCAAGAACTTTCTGAAGTGGCGAATTACAATGTGTTTATCCGGAAGTTTTGATGTTGAACACATTATCAGTGAATCCGTTGAATAACTAAAAAGGTGAGCTATTCGAAAGAAAGACTGAATAAAAAAAAGCTACACTAAACGTAATAAACGTGCTGACATAGCTTAGGGTAACGACTTTGGAACTATAGTGTCCCTGACCGAGAGGCCATAGGGTTCGAATCCCGACTGTCGTTGATCTTCGACGCTCTGTATAGTTAGGTCGAATTCAAACTGCGCTGTCCGGAGGAGAATCCCTTCAGACGACTGCTCTGATCAGTAGTTTTCCATCATTTGTTCGATAAATACTAGGCAAATTCCGGAGCAGTACGCAATATTTTCTGCATTCGCGCGATATTTCCTTCTTCATCCTTCTTCTCTCTTCTGACTTTCCACAAACACACTCACGAGGCTAAACTATCACACGTGTTGTGAGACCAATCGGTAGATAAGAGCCTGTTCAGGTTGGGGGGGGGTCTGTAGGCTGAGATACCTGGAGTGAGAAATCCCCCCAAGCTGACATGTAAGTCAGCGCCGGATCTCACATTCTGGCAGAGAAGGAAGGGGACACCATGGCATTCCAAGATTACAATATGCATTTGACTTGCAAGTCTAATAATCCTTGCAGATTGTGCGCCCGGAAATACGAAATAATCAAAGGGACGGACCACAGCGCGCTGCAACGTACTGAAATTCTCGCAGGCGAGGAAGACGCAACTACCCGAACGATAGACGATTAAAAAAATGTACATTTTCTCGTACAGCGAGGCAAGCGCTTTGTAAGAATGGGTAGAGCTGCAACAGCACTATGAGTCACAAACAAGAGAGCGATGATACAGCGGTAGGCGTGATGTGCCTTACGCCCCTCCCTTTGATTTGAGTGTCCAAAGTGATCAAAGGGCCACTGCCTTTGATTTCAGTGTCCTTCTATGTGCTGCCTTCACTACGACTTGGGTGTGGAATTTCTTTACAAATTAGTGGTGCTACACTGTTCGTTCTTTCTCGCAAAATTGCACAATAGTACTCGAATTTTCGAAAAATTGAACATAATCTTATTTTAAAATCTATCTTTAAGGAACAGATTTTATTAAGGGAAAACATTATTTTTTCTTAAATATTTTAATTGTAGGAAGAAGTTTTGAACATTTGCAATTTTCGAAAAATCAGGGTTTTCAACGAACCATTCTGCAACGGACCTGCACCATTCTCTTAAACGTCCGTCACACTATTCAACATCAAAATTTAATCTAAAAAGATGGACCTTTTTTTCAAAATTTTGAAAATGTCACAGAGTTTTATGTAAAGTACTTGTCAGAATAAAAATCTCGGTTTCAAATTCAAGGGGCCCTTTCAGTCAGATCGACTGATGGTAAATATAAAGCGATGATTGGTAAATATACATTTTGGAGAAAAACGGGTGACGGTTTAGCCGCTAGCGTTGTTCACAGACGGACAGACATTTTGCCGTCATTCGTCTAACGTATTATAAATTTGTTTTCTAAATTTAGCAACAGGTTTTATCCACTTTTTCCTTCAAAGGGCCCTGTAATAAGTTTCTCTGCCGAAAATTTACTATTTTCCCCCGCAGCATTACATAACTTTCTTTCTACTCCGTAGCGTGAAAGTAAAAATTATAAGCGAAGAAGGCAACTGTGTATCCTGAGCCTTCTTCGTAAACCTTACACAAGAGTATTTCGCGAGCCCTTCGCGCTTTGTACATTACAGTAATGAGGCTCTAGATGGTAATGACACAGCGGCGGTAATATTCCGCTTTACTCTGCAATAGGTGAAATTGTATTCTCCTTTCCCTTCCCGGTTGGAGAAAAAAATAGAAGAACTTGAATCAGGAGATTATGAAATTGAAATATAAGTTAGAAGAAAATGCTGAAAGCTGTAATTGTACTTGCGCCAAAACTGCTTGCTGATATTTAGCTTGGAAGGAAATGAAAACGAAGACACTGACAATCTGGTAATAAAGAAATTTGTTATAAACATAAGTGTTAACTTAAGCCTGTTGATAAATGATATTGGCAGGATACGTCGGTTCGGTCGGCAAATAACTGGCAAAAAAACGATCTATCATGTAACTTTTGCTAGTTTCAGAAAAGGGAGTGAAATGTTTCGCTCGAAACAGATGCTGAGCTTTCTGTAATCACACGAAATCGCGCCTGGAATTGCTGCAAGCATCCAGTGACTGTTTTGACCTCCGGAACGTGATGGGATCGTCATGATCGAAAGCAGTAACGACGAGCCCGGGTGGAAACCAGCGAAATGTCGGATCGTTGTGCGGAGGAATTTCTAAGCGAGGAACTCAACTGTCTCTGATCGACTGAAATAAGGAGGAAGTTTCGCGTGTGGTGTAGGGGCCCCTTCACCCCACCCATCTCTGCAACTGACTGCTATACTTTACGGATACTTTTCCGAGATCTTTCCTCCTCCGAACTTTTGTTCTGGAAAAAGGAGTCGCTCCCTACCCCTGTCACCACTCCGCTACCTGTACCTTTCTTACCTGCGGGTGAGTGCACCCTCAGTCCTACCATCTCAAAACCTGACAATAAAATTAGCGAGACCAATCCTCTTTTCTCTCTCTCGATCTCCCTCTGTCTGTCTCTTTCTGTCTCTCTCTTTCTGTCTGTCTGTCTCTCTCTCTCTCTCTCCATCTCTCTCCCTCTCTCTCTATTGTAACAAATTATACAATAACTTTAAATTATTTATGTTTTTATAGCATAAATAATTTAAAGTTTTGTTATAGCATAAAAAAGTTTGATTTTTATCACCAGAGGTCGAAAAATTAAAGATAAATCGATGTTACGCAACACTAATCTCACCCCCCTGGCCCCAAGCAACGAAGCGTAACCCTGTTTCAAACCCCCTTCCCCGATCTTTAGCATTACGTTATTTTTGGACGACCCCGACCCGGTTCATCTATGTATTTAACTGTCGCTTAACCACTCAATTGCGGTAGCCGAAAAATAGCTATGTGGGGTCTATGATGGATCTCAGAATACATTATAAAATTATTGAATGGCAAAAGTATTTAAGAACTAATTCTGCATGTATTTAGCAACATATTTCATTGCAATTTTCTGCAAGTGTGTGTTGAAATATTTGCAGGGTTTCAGGTATAGAGAGGGGTTTTGCAGGTGAGTAATTTCAGATAGTAAAAAACACCCGTGTGTTTCTCTAAATAGTAGCAATAAAAAATTCTCTTTTTGGTTTCGCGCCCCGGAAGCATTTATTTTGTTAGAGGTTTTAGCAATACTTGAATTTTGACGCAATCTGGTTATCACTGTTACTTTACACACATTTCAAAGACTTGAAGCGCTTTTGTATACTCTTAAGATCGTTAGCGACCTTTAGGATTAGCGAGTGTACTGGAATTCAGGCGGCCGGCTGAGCGACTAATCCAGACGGCCTAAAATCGGCTGCGATCGCAGCGCCCGCGTGCGTTACAATGCTGTCGTAATTTGCACCGAAATTCACGAATTTGCGTTTGTTTCTCGATGGGAATCCGAAAAAAGTAGGGTTTTTTCAACAACACCTAGAGTGTCACCCGCTGTTCAACTTAGTAAATGCAAAACACGACGTCACATTCTGTAAAGTAATTCTAAAAAGTAATAGTCAAGGAACTGATGAGAAGAAACGATGCGTTTCTCTCCAAAATGCGGCAGAAAAATTTCTTCATCTAACTTTAGAGCAGACGGTGATCTATTTTTTACCCCAAGGAATGACTCATTCTGTACATTTTGAACATTCTCTGTACTTGGGATCCTTTTCGCGAGGACACGGTTGGCCAGGTTTTTTGGTGAGTGTGCAAAACTTCTTCAATATTGAGTGTGTTGTTGCGGATTCACGACAGTATTCTACATCGATAAATAGTAAAGTAAGTTGACTATGATTTCAACGTCTTGATGGGCAAACCTAGCTGTAACAGAACTCCGCAAGCAACAAGAACTCCGCAGTTGCCACACGGCAACGGTTTCAATATTTCTTACTCGCACTTCCTTAGTAAGAGGGGAAACTTAAATAATCGTACGCCGGAAATTCGTAGGATTTCCGTAGAAAACATATTATTGCCGGGTACTGATAATGAAACCACATGGAGTAGCAACAATAAATATTTTCTGGGTCCTTTATATCGGAAAATTAATTGACGGTAAAGCGTCTGTTTGTCCGTCTGTCCGTCCGTTCAACTTTGTGTGGTCGACCCTAGCACCTAAATTGTTCAGCCGATTTTCTCTAAAAATGGTAATCCTTGTTTAATCTAAATGAACTCGATACTTTAGGAGTTTCAAACAGGTATTTGGATTTTTTAGGGTACATCACATAAAGCCTCAAAAACATTTTCAACATTTTTGCAAGAATGGCTACACATTTTTTGATAAAACGTCGGATAGCGTAAAGGACGCGTAAGAAAATGTTGCAGGTTTCATATTCATTGAAACCCTACATGTTTCGAAAATTCCAAAAGTTATCTGAAATCTATTCTTTAAAGATATATCTTAAAATAAGGTCATGTTAAATGTTTCCATAATATGTGTAGTTTTCTTGTACTTTTGCGCGAAATATAGTAATTTAGAATTTGTTTCACAAATCGCTCCAATTTTTTTTTTTAAATAGAAAAAGAATCCCTTCAAAGAATGGTCCGCGTCTAATTTTTATTTAACTCTCCGAATTTTTGAAAATTGTACATTTGGAATTGATACGAGAAAGTATGTGCTGTTGTTGTGCCACTAGATTTGTTTGTAAACATCCGATAAGCCTCGGAAGACGAAACTATCACTCTGAGTTAAGAGAGGTTCTAGTAATAAAAGTCCTAAGCGATGAAACTCGATACCCAGATAAAGCGAAAGGACGCTACGATGCGTGTCGTCAGTGACCCCACACACATACACACACACATACTCGATAGGTGATTGTTAAACCCCGCTCGTTTTTTTTACACAGGCCAAAGAGCTTCGGCTCATGTATTTCCCTTGGGCAATAAATTACCACCTCACTATGGTAAATGGCAGGGGGGGGGGCAGTATCTCTTGGCTTCTATAAGGAAGTAGCGGAAATAATGTCCAATGGCTGTTCAAATGCTTCAACCGATTAGTAAGAGCAAACCAAAAGGAAACAGTCGCTGCACACGATAGTGTATGAGTATTAAGGGTGTTACTTCCTGTGCTTCACCACGTTAAATAGGGCGTCACTGAATTGATTGAATTTAAGTTTCTCTTAAAAGTGAAAAATGGCTAATTTGCAAATTAACTGGTCAAAACGCGCATTACCCAGGATCTGGATGAAGTTGCATAATATGGTTAATAATTTGATACATAATGTGGCTAATTCACGAGTTAGCAAAGGCCGCTGAAGTTTGTTGTTTTTCCGTCAGGTGCATGATCGCTTTTTATTCCTGGGGCTTTTTCGAGCTTTATAGAATGTGGGTGTCGACTATCCGCGCCGGATACCCACTATATCCCTCATGGGGACACATTAACCCTTACACTAGACACTGACGCATTTGCGGGCTATTCGGTCTGTGGTCAGGAGACTCACAAGGCCTTCCGCAACAACACACATACATGGAAGCCATGGGACAAACAACCATGCCCAAGGCGGGCCTCGAACCTCGAACCCGGTCCCTTCTGACCGACTCGCGGAGTCGGCACACGTTCTAGCAACCTCGGCCATCCAAGTCGTCAATTGCATGATCGCTTAGTACGCGAAAAGTTCGCGTACCCACGTACAATTACAATAGGATTTCAAACAATATAAATATATATAAATATGTACAATGATTGCAGGTGTAGGAGAATTCAAGATGATTGATGAGGCATTTACCAAATTATTCAAAGTGAGAAAATTCAGTACACATGACCTGATCAAGAAACGAAAAATTATTAAGAATTAAATCATTTATTCAACGATTTCGAAAATGTCATCTGAGGATTAAAATTAAAACAAAACATGGCTTCGGAGAACAAGAAGAAGAACAAGTTAAATTTTTCGAAAGAAAAAAATAAGAACAAGTTACATTTTTGAACTGTTTCCCGGACTACGCATTACGTTTTTAAAACCTTTTCTAATATTTTTTATCAATGGTTTTTAGATGTATGTCTGACTGTTTACGAATCCCTGTAAAAAAAACATGATTATTCTAACCACACAACTGTTCAGAAGCTGCTGCTGGAATACGAATTCGCGCGTGCAGATCCCAGGCGAAGCTTGGGCAGCCGGCCGAAGTAGTTCCACGGCGCCCGCTTGGGGCTCTGACTTCACGGCCGCGAGCAGCGCTGACCTCCGTTGCGTCGCGAATCAGAACTACTCGCAGGTGCCGCCGCCGCCGCCGCCGTCGTCTCCTCCTACGCTTCCAGGCCCAGCCAGCTCCGCGGAGACACCAGCGAGCGACAGACGAGCGAAGCCACCGGACGCCCCGTTCAGTTTTGCGTGCGACAACAGGCAACAATGGTCGGAGCGAAGTGCATGGCGGCGGGAGCGGTGCTGCTGGTGGCGTTGGCCGTTAGCTGGACCCCCACCGGTGAGTAGAGTTTGAACTCCGTGCCTGCGCGTTGCTCGGGACCGCCCTAACCTGACCTGGGCAGGTGTGGGCGCGCGGGACGGCCAAGGTTGTCTCGCCTCGCCGGTGGGCAACTAGACCGTCCTTTTTTTCTTTTTGTCTGTTGTTGTTTTATGTTTTCTGCGACCTCCTGAGCGATTTGTGAGGGAACCGTCAGCGTGAACGAGGTTGCGACCTGATTGTTTCGATTGTTATCCAGCGGGTAAAGTGCTTTTGCTGCCCCTTCCTTTATAATAGGTTTGCTTTGTCGTTTAAATGCCCTGATGTGCAGTCGTTTCCTGGATATTCAAGCGGAATTTAAAATGAATCTGGCGCCCTTTCGGTGAAGGAAAAATGTTTAAAATATTGTAGAATGAGTGATGTTCGGATATGTTTAATGTGGTATTTGAATGTGGAATACTTGGTATAAAATAATAGCTAAATCAAACTGTGTATACTTTACTCTCTGACGAGAGATGAAAAGATCGCTTGGAATCCGCGGCGAAGGGTTCAGATCTTCAGATCTATATCCTGTGAAGAGGCATTTGCTCTTTGATCAATTGAAGGATATAACCAAATGTTCTTTTTGTTTTAACTTAATTCTAAACGTTCTTAAATTGACAAAATCCTCCGTATTTATTCATTATTAATTTATTTGTATTCGATATCTGATCATTCAAACATTGCCTCCCTGTAACTTCCTCTTAGTAATGGGTGAAACATTTAGCAATTAGTGTAGGAATGGGTCTATTTTTTTTTCGCGGTTTGCTTATGGTTTTCTACATGAATGTGAACGTATTAGCGAGAAGCTACGCTAGGGCGTAGTGTGGATGTATTTCTAAGAATGTCAAACTAGTCCTCGTAGTTCTGTAAAAATATGAAACTTTTCAAATTATCTTGCACTGTGTGATTTAAAGATCAATATGTACCTTACGTCTTGTTGAACATTACCAGTATACGTCAATCCATTGTGCTTTATCCTATTTCCTGTGCGAAGATTGAGGTCGGCGAAGTGTAGAAATCTGCGGGCACCATCAGCAGTTGCCAATCGATTGCATCTCAAACGTTGAGTTACCTGTTCTCGTTCTTTCCAATTCATCCTCGGGTCATCTTCATTGTTTCCTATTTACAAAAATCGAAAAAAAGGAATTGCGATTTTGTATGGTTTCCTGAACTTTTTCTTTACGTATTGACTAATGTATACTCTTCGCGCATCCGGAATGCTCTCTTGTCAAACATGCATCCCGCCAACACCTTAATCTTCAAATTTTATATTTTTTCCGTCCTACGATATCGTAGACTTCATTACTCGTTTGGCTAAATGGTGGGGTGTAAGTAAACATCGCATGTAATAGTCATATTTAAAAAAGTATAGTAATAGGCTACATATTCATTTATCCAGTCACAAGTGATGCGCTTTTGTTTTGTAAGATATCATACATTACATTTCTGTCTACAAACGTGAAAACCAGTGACATCAAAATTGGCATGCAATACAACATTTAGCAAGACCGAATGTTTATGTATAAAAAAAAATGTTACGTTCGTAATAAAGTCTTTGGTTTCTTTGAAGAAAAATTTATTCTGTAAGAGCCTCCTTACAATTTTGAGATCTTTTCTTCATTGCTTCTTCTATTCAACAGTACATGATGATGTCTGATGATCGTCTGTGTTGGATGATTAGATGAACAAGTTCCATAATTGGGGAGCTGATACAATCAAGTAATGTGTTTGGGTTTCCAGTACGAAGTTTTTATACGATGTTATGGATAAATGCCCCGACACATCTAGCCTAACTTGTTTTCCATCAGCTCCTCATAGCAGTTTGCAGTCAGCGCGCATTCGCAGTGACGATGCAAGCGACTTCACATTCCCAAGTGACAAGTGTGCAACACGAAACATTGAAACGACACAGTTGGTACGATATGTTAAAAACTGCTTCTGCACCTTTGGAGAGTGAACCAATTTTTCACATTTTACAAAAAGGCGTGAATTGCAGTGACTGCAAGTGCATGTCGAAAATACGACAGCTATGTGCAATTTTCGAAAAGGGCGCTGCTCTGTTGAGTTTTCGAAAAGGGCGCAGCTCTGTGAAGTTTTCGAAAAGGGCGCAGCTCTGTGAAGTTTACGAAAAGGGCGCAGCTCTGTGAAGTTTACGAAAAGGGCGCAGCTCTGTGAAGTTTTCGAAAAGGGCACATCTCTATGGAGTTTTCGAAAAGGGCACAGCTCTGTGAAGTTTTCGAAAAGGGCACGGCTCTGTGAAGTTTTCGAAAAGGGCGCAGCTCTGTGAAGTTTTCGAAAAGGGCACAGCTCTATGGAGTTTACTGTTGCCATCTAGGACGTGTGCGAGCAGGCCATATTTGACGTACATCCGTTTCGTTTGTTTCTACTTTTACATTCACTATAAGCGCTCTGCTAGCCGTTTCCGCCATCGAACTGCTTTCTCAATAAATTTGCATTTCTCCCTACCTATAGATATAATACGTCCTACCAGACTCCATACCTTGCTATATATAACCGTACAACACTCTCTATCTAATATCTCCCTTTTTCGCAAGAAAAGCGTTCACCAGAGACTGATGCCCTTTTTCGAAAAACTTCACAGAGCTGCGCCCTTTTCGTAAACTGTTTCACAGAGCTGCGCCCGTTTCGTAAAACTCAAAACAGAGCTGTGCCTTTTTCGAAAACTTCACATTGAGCTGCGCCCTTTTCGAAAACTTTCACGAGAGCTGCGCCCTTTTCGAAAACTTCAAAAACAGAGCAGCGCCCTTTTCAAAATTGCACATAAAGCTGTCGTATTTTCGACATGCACTTGCAGTCACTGCCAATTCACGCCTTTTTTGGTAAAAATGTGAAAAATTGGTTCCCTCTCCAAAGGTTGCAGAAGCAGTTTTTAACATATCGTTACCAACTGTGTCGTTCCAATGTTTTGTGTTGCACACTTGTCACTTGGGAATGTGAGTCGCTAAATGCATCGTCACTGGCGAATGCGCGCTGACGCCAAACTGCTATGAGGAGCGGATGGAAAACAAGTTAGGGCTAGTGATGTTCGGAGCCATTTATCTAACATCCGTATAAACTTCGTACTGGAAACCGAAAACAATTACTGGATGTATCAGCTCCCCAAATTATGCGAACTTGTTCCATCTAATCCAATCCCTTGCACAGGACGTATCATCAGACATCACAGTACAATGTGAATAGTAGAAAAGCAAGGGAAGAAACGCATCTCAAAATTGTAAAGGAGGCTTCTTACAGAATTAATTTTTTCTTCAAAAGAAACAAAATACTTTATTACGAAACGTACATGTTTTTTATACAAAAACATTCAGTCTTGCTAAATGTTGTATTGCATGCCAATTTTAATGTCACTGTAGTTTCACGTTTGTAGACAGAAAGTAATGTATGATATCTGTTACAAAACAAAAAACGCATTCACTTGTTGACCGGATAAATAAATGGGTGGCCTATGACTACCACATTTTTTAAATACGAGTCTATTACATGCGATATTTGCTTTACACCACACCATTTAGTCCGAACATGTAATGAAAGCCTACGATATCGTAGGACGAACAAATATAAAATTTGAAGATTAAGGTTGTTGGCGGATGATGGTTTGACAAGAGGAGCATTCGAATTGCGAGAAGGAGTATACATTAGTCAATCGAAAGAAAAAAGTTCAGGAAAGCCAACAAAATTCCAATTCCTTTTTTTCGATTTTTGTAAATAGGAAACAAGTGAAGATGAACCCGAGCGTGAATTGAAAGAACGAGAACAGAGTAACCTCAACGGTTTGGAGATGCAATCGATTGTGTCAACTGCTGATGTGCCGCAGATTTCTACACTTTTCGCCGACCTCAATCTTCGCACAGGGAAATATTGATAAAGACAGTGGATTGAAGTATACTGGTAAAAGTTCAAACAAGACGTAAGGTACATATTGATCTTAAAACACACAGTACAAGATAATTCCGAGTTTTGATATTTTTACAGTTTACCTACAACGAGGACTAGTTCGACATTCTTAAGAAATAGATCCATTACTACACCCTAATGCGAACCTTTTATCTATTACGTTCAATTCCTGTAGAAAACCGAACAAGAAAAGCCTTCGAAAAAATAAGAGCTTCACCCATTCGTACAACCATTGCTAACTGTTTCACCATTTACTAAGGAGCAAGTTACATGGAGGCAATGTTTGAACGTGTCGATATTCATCGAATACAAATAAATAATAATCAATTAAATACGGAGGAATTTTTGTCAAATGAAGAGACGTATTAAGAATTAAGTTTAAAACAAAAAAAAGAACATGTCGCGTTTCTATCCTTCAATTGATCAAAGAGGCAAATGCCTCTTCACAGGATACAGATTTGTTAGATCTGAACCTTCGCCGCGGATTCCAAGCGATCTTTTCCACTCTTCGTCAGAGAGTAAAGTATACACACTTTGATTTTAGCTGTTATTTTATACCAAGTATTCCACATTCAAATTACCACATTAAACATATCCGAACATCACTTTCATTCTGACATATTTTAAACCATTTTTCCCTTTCACCGGAAAGGCGCCAGATTTCAAATTTTAAATTCCGCTTGAATCTCCAGGAAACGACTGCACACCAGGGCATTTAAACGACAAAGCAAACCTATTATAAAGGAAGGGGGCAGCAAAAGCACTTTTACCCGTGAGATAACAATACGCAAACAAATTCAGGTCGGCAACCCTCGTTTCACGCTGACGGTCCTCACAAATCGCTCAGGGAGTTCCAGGAAAACATAAAAACAACAAACAGACAAAAAAAAGACGGCCTAGTTGCCCACCAGTGAGGCGGGACAACCTTGGCCGGCCCGCGCGCCCACACCTGCCCAGGTCATGGTAGGGCGAGGTCCCGAGCAAACGCGCAGCACCGATGTTCATTTTACTCTACTTCACCATGGGGGTCCAGCTAACGGCCAAACGCCCACCAGCAGCAAACGCTCCCGCCGCCATTGCACTTCGCTCCCGACCCCAATTGTTGCCTGTTGTCGCACGCAGAAACTGAAAACGGGGCGTCCGGTGGCTTCGCTCGTCTCGTTGTCCGGCTCGCTAGGTGTCGTCCGCGGAGCTGGGCTGCTGGCTGCGCTGAGGCCTGGAAGCGTAGGAGGTGAGGACGAACACGGCGGCGGCGGCACCTGCCGAGTTAGTTCTGATCGCGACGGCAAACGGAGGTCAGCGCTGCTTCGCGGCCGTGAGTCAGAGCCCACAAGCGGGCGCCGTGAACTACTTCGCCGGCTAGCCCAAGCTTCGCCTGGACTGCTAACGCGCGAATTGTATTCCAGCAACGCTTCTGAGAGTTGTTGTGGTTTGAATAATCATGTTTTTTAACAGAGATTCGTAAAACATGTCAGACATACATCTAAAAAAACCATTTGATTAAAAAATAGTAGAAAAAGGTTTCAAAAAACGTAAATTGCGTAGTGCGGGAAAACAGTTCAAAAAAATGTAACTGATTCACT